AAAAAAAAAAAAAAAAAAAAAAAAAAAAAAAAAAAAAAAAAAAAAAAAAAAAAAAAAAAAAAGTTAATTGGGTGAATTTGAATTTGAGGATAAGATTAATTTCTTGAAAGGAATGGGATCCAATTCGTTGGGCCACTTTTGTCAAATGGTCAGCAGATTTTATACTTTGGGACAAGCATCACGCCAAGAGACTTGTTCTTGTGAAAACACAGCACATGGAGGAGACAGCTCTGGAATAAAATAATACTGACCCCTAATCTTATCCAATTAGCTTAAAATATTTTAACAACCAATTATTAATGTTCTAATTCCCAGCCAATGGATTCAGCTTAAACATCGAAAACAATTTATTATTCTCCAAACAAGAACATCAAGGTTTTCTCAAGAACACAAACAGCATTTTCAAAATAAACAACATCACTGAATTAATGAACTGAATCAGAAATCACCCATTTCACGCCTTAATGATGCTTGAAGTTCGAATCCTTCACGACTGTCACAGGGCAAGGAGCGTGCGTAATCACGTAATTGCTAACACTCCCAAGCAGAATCCTATTTTTCCAGAAGCAAAAATAAACATCACCAATTGTTCATCCCTTACAAAATCCGATTCGTTCCAAGAAGAGGAAAAAAGGAAACAAACCTTCGGATCGTACTCAGTCCTCTGCTTCCCATTACCAGAGAATCGAGTTTCAGATCTTCAATCGCATCCAGAATTTTCTCCCGCGCATCTCCCCAGTAAAGCTTCGACACAACGGTAATCTAAAATCGCGGTTTAATTTCGAAGTTAATCCATTATATTACGTTTTGAAAACTAAACAAGGCGTCGCAAATTCAAGATCGCTACCTCTTTCTGTCGACAGCCAGTGTCGAGAATATCGAGGGCTTCAATGTCGATTTCGACATCGTACTTCTTCAACACTTCAGGCTCTCGAAACTGAGACAACGGAATCAGAGCTGTCAAACACGCAACCGGATTGTCAAGATATTGTGAAAACAGAAAGAGAACAAAGAAGGATTAGGTTGATTACTGACGAGAGCCGGATTCAGCGGAGAGCTGAGGCGCGGATTGATCGAGTGATTTAGGGTTAACGTAGATGATGTAAAGAATGTCGCCTTTGTCGGCTAAGTTATCGATGGCCCATTTGAGAGCGTTTTTGCTGCTGTTGGAGAAATCCACAGCCACTCCGATCTTCCGATCCTTCACCATTGTTGTGCTTTCTGGGATTGCTTCTTCTTCTTCTTCTTCTTCTTCTTCTTCTTCTTCTTCTTCTGTGCGGACCTGCAGATTGCTTCAAAATGGCTGCCAGTAATGAGCCAAGCGCGGCACGGAAATCTTGGAATTCATTGTTGTAATCCACGTGCTTATCACGTGCAGGAAATGGAGCTTAGTTCCTAATTAATTAGTTAATTAATTAATTAATTAATTCCTTAGATGCCTTGTTTGGCGAGACAAACCCAAAAGGCATCTACTCAGAAACTTCCCGTGCTGTCCTTTCTATAATGACTGTAATACCCTTGAGCTTTTCTTTTAAGGCCCAAACATTGGGCTTTTACAAGTGGGCTTTCCGAATGGGCTTTCCGAGCCCATTAAGAAAAGGAGAGTTGTCCGGTAATAGACATGGATGTCGGCGGCGACCAGGAAGATCTGAAAACATGTTCAATCATTGCAGTAAACACAGAAGTAACAACGCAATGGTACGATGTGTCGGCCACCGTCAGTCTCAAAATTCTACGAAACCAAATCAGAATAAATTTAATGTTTTTTAAATAATAGTATTTAATTTGTAAGACGAGTGTCGGTGAGATTTGAGAAATTCGATGCAGATTAAAGCGGCGAGGAGGAAGACGAGGATTTAAGGTTATATTGAATTAATTAAATGGTAGGTGGTGAACTACATAGTTTGACTGGTGGGAAATTGAAACAACGTTATGACGCCAACATTGGCAATTGTGAATTGGGAACTGGATTCGCATTAAAACCATTTTACTGTTTTAAAATATGTTTGTTCCAGGAAGTTTTTCGCTTTTGTTTGATACACCGTAACAAACCAGTAAATCATAATAAAAAGAACCGTAGTAAAAACAAGTAAATTAGTAAATTATCTTACTATGTATAGATATGATCTATTATAACTTGAACCGCACCATTTTGGTCTGTTACATGTCCCTAGCAATTTTTGACTCTAATTAACATGGGATCTCACTGGTTCACGCCCATATATATATATATATATATATATATATCACCCTCCGACAGCCCTTAGATCTTGCAGGAACTGTTTTATTATTATTATTATTATTTATTTATTTGTCATATCTAATTGCTATAAATATTTATTAAATTTTGAAATTGTTTATATTTTTAAAATATCCTCATGTGTGATGGTTGGAAGCCAGCAAGGCAGACAAATATATTCACTTTTCACAAGGACCCCCAAAACCCGATACCGACCCGACCCGACCCGATCCAATCAAAAACGTCAAATTACCCGCTAATTCCCCCCGAATTCCGGCGGGTATTTCATTTAATTTCCACCGTTTTAGCCGAATTAAACTCCCACTTGAATTTTAAAAAAAATTAATTAAAAGAAAGGAATAAATATAACATGACGATGGCGGAACATGTGGGTTGTGGGTGACGACCTAGTTTAATTAATTTTGTCATTGACCACAACTCAAATAAGACAAGGATGGACCTAGAAATAAAATATAATAAATAACAAACATATATACATAAAATACATAAAATTAATTCATAAGGTAAGTTTTTGTACTTTGGGTTAAAAAAAATATCACAATATATTTCTTGTACGCTTTTGAAAATTAATACCGAATCCAATGATCCTCCTTTTTCTATTTTATTTTATATTTATCTCTTTATTTTGGTTTTCCTTTCCCTTTTTCATATTCACTTTATTACAAACTCGGTTGCGTGAAGAATCACGCTGTGTTCGTGCCATCTCGCCAAAAGATTCCCCTTTTATGTATGTTGCTTGTAATTTAAGTATTTTATAAAAATAATTACATTTATTTTCTGTAAATAATATTTACTAATTGGATTTGATTGGCTAATACAACGCGGTTATTATTCGAAGGTAAGTTTTTTTGTGTACAAATATTGCATGCGGCTTTCCTTTTAAATAAATATGTATTTATTATAAATTAAATTCTTATGCCTATTTTCCTCTTATGAAAATATATTTAATTTTGGGAGCCTATTTATGAAATTCATTATAATTAATTACGGTTTCGCCTGGAATCTGTACTTTCTTTGACCTACGCTAACGTACGCCGTCACTGTGTTTTGTTATAATTTATTATGCTTTTTACTTTTTTGTTTTAACTGTAATGTAAAAGTAAAAGTAAAAAGTAAAAGGCGGTTAGGGTGGGGTACACTAACCTCACCTCTGCAGTGCGGCTGCCTATTTTCACGTTACATGACAGTTCCCACTGGGCGCCAACCTTAAGTTTACTTCCTATAAGGGGCCTACTACCGCTACGTCATTTTTATTATTTATTTATTTATTTATTTTATTTAAATTTTAAAAAATTAAAAATTTAATAATAGTGGCGCCAACGCCAACTGGCGCAAGCTTTGTGGAAGGGACGCTTTACAAATGAAGGTGCACGTAGTTACACTCGCCCCTTGCCCCTCTAATTATGTGTATATTAATTTTATTTTTAATTTTTAATTTTAATTTTATTTTATTTTATTTTATTTCCTTTTTCTATAAAAATTCGTTTCCTTTTTTTGCTATAAAGAAACCCTTTCTTTTAAATCTCTGCCTCTCTTCATCTTCTTCGATTCTCTTCTGTGTTTCAGAATTTCTAGGTTTTCTCTCTTTCTTTCTCCTTACTGTAACGATTTGGTGTTGTAATTGGTCGGTGGTCATGGCTGAGAGTTTAGATGACGGCGAGTTTTGGCTTCCTCCTCAGTTTCTTTCTGACGACGATGACGACCAAGAGAGTTCTGCTACTAATAAGAACAATGGCCGGAATTCGTTCGGTTCGACTGCTTTTCAGTCTGGACGGCCGTCGTTTCCGCTTGAGTTTGGGACTTTTGGTGGATTTTCGGATTTTAGTTCTACTGCTGAATCGTTGAAGGGTTCTAGTGAGACGGAGAGTGATCTGGAGGATCTTGTCGCTGGATTGACTCTTCATATGGCTCGCTCCACCGTTGATGATGGTCTTGATTCTGATAATGCTAAGGTTTCAACTCGAAGCTGATTTGATTTGATTTTTTATGGTTGCTCTGTTTCTTTTATGTCTAATCTTTAGATTTTTTTTTTTAGGAAAGAGTTTTGGCTGGATCTCCGCAGTCGACTCTTTGCGATATGGGGAGTGGTAGTGGCTGTAGTCAAGGTTCTAGTCGAGGAAGTCCTAAAGGTAATTGTAAGGTTCCATCTCCGCCGGCTACATGGGATCTGCTGCATGCGGCTGCAGGACAAGTAGCGAGGATGCGAATGACGGAGAATCATGGAGTTGTTCATCAAAATAGAGGAGCATCTCAAGTTTCTGTTCCGGTGAAGAACTCGAGCTCCGATACCGGGTTCTACCAGCAGTTGCAGGCTATGCAAGTAAATCTCTCAACTCCTTTATGCGATTTAAATTAATTTTTCAATTGAGATCTGTGTTTCTGTTGAATTAGCCGTCTATTTCGGTTCATTATTGGGTTCATTATTCTTTCGCAGTTTCAGCATCTACAACAGAAGGAAATTATGCAGCGACAAAACCCGACCGTCGCTGAGCAGATAAATTATCATGCAGGGTATCAACAACAACAGATCCATCAAATAGTTCAGAACGGAATGAGGAGCGGTCGGGGACTGTCGTCATCTCCATGGCGTCAACCGCCGCAGGGCGCCGGTACGAGGGCTCTGTTTGTTGGAACATCAGGCGGTGGCAAAAGGGAATGCGCTGGAACTGGTGTCTTTTTGCCTCGCCATACCGCCACTCATTCTCAACCGAGAAGAAAACCAGGTCCGTCCTCTACTTTCATCTTCCTAAAAGCTTAATTATGCTCATATGGGAACAGTTTGGTAAAGGAAGAGGGCATTAAATTCTTCAACCTCACCAATTTTACACGAATTTATGTTTGGTAATGAATTAAACTAAATCACGAGTTCCCTTTTCGACCCACAGATTGTCCTACGGTGTTGGTTCCTGCCAGAGTGATGCAAGCCCTGAATCTTAACCTCGAAGACATTTGCAGTCAACCCCATCTTCAACCCGTCGCCGCCGCACGATTCAATTCAGATAACGGTAAAATAGAATCCACCCTCTAATTGTTATGAACACAGGAATCAATCCCCGTCTGATTAGTTCTGTGTTTTGCTGTTGTAGATGTTCTGCTGAGGCTGCAATTCAACCGCAGTGCAAATTATCAAAAACGCAACAGCCGTCGGCAGGCAGCAACAGAGCATGAAATCAAGCTTCCCCAAGAATGGACTTACTGAAACTAAACCGTCACTACAGAAAGTTAGTTCGGGATCGTCACAGTACAGAATTGGTAAAGATGAAGATATTATGATATTTGTGGTTAGATTTAGAGAAGGAATAGAAAAAAATAAGTTAGAACAAGTTGTTTAGTTTATTTTTTGTTTGGTTGAGGGACTAAGGTCACTCAGTCAAAGTGAAGAACAAGGGTGGATCCAGAAAACGGAGTGTATTTTCCACCTCTTTTTGTGTCAATAAAAGAAATTCTAGATTCCATAAAAGCCCATGTGCTGCTGCATTGGGGCCTTGGGGGGCGCCTTTTTCAGACTCTCACAAGTCCACCCTCCCTCCCCATTTGCTGTATTCATTAATTTTGTATTACTATATGTTAATCATAGTGTTATTAGTTAAAGCATGGAATTTCGTTGGTTAATTGAAATTATGTGGATGGATAAGGAGTCTGATTGGGAGAGAATAATACTTTGCTTAAGATGGAAGAATCTCCCATTTATCTGCCCTGCCTACCCCTTCACCCTTCTTCAACCCTCCACTACACGTGTCACCCGCTTTCCACGTGGGCAGATGTTGATCTTTCTCCGTTCATTTTTGATTCATTGATTCGAGATTTAAACAAATTTAGAGATTTAAACAAATTAGATTAGATTTTTTTAGCACTAAATGGGAGAAAATGAGGAGATAGTGGAGGGAGGGAGGCGTAGTGGGGCGTGTGGATGGATGAAGGACGCGTTAATGTGGAGGGACGTGCAGTGTCATCTGTCACGTAAGAACCCGCACATGGCGCGCACTACGGATGGCTATCTACGCGCACGCTCCTCGTCTTTTAAGTCCTCGATTCCATCTCATCACAATGCCTTCCCCCTTAATTTTCCGCATCTTCCTTCCTTTTTGACTTTCCCGCCCTCTATTTCCACCGACCGACCTACCTGCCTACACAAATATCTCACCGCCCTTCAAATTCTCTCAAATTTAATCACTAAATAATATATGGCTCTATAGAAATTAAAATTAAAATTTAACGTAAATCAAATATATATAATATATATATATTTATTTATTGATATGATGCCAAAATAAAGGAAAAGGTGCGCATGAGCTAGGCCCGTATTAGAACGTTAATGGTCCATTGGGCTTGGGGGAATCGGACTTGGCCTTTCTTTTGGCTCGGGCTCTGAAGAGAACGAACCCCACTGCGTGGCCACCGACCGCCGCCAGGAAGATCCCGCCGTTGAACGACATCACTGATAATATCACCATATAGTTCAAACCAGTACGTACTGCGTGTATCGCGGTCTGCAGCACCACCGTCAACACATTGTCGGCGCTTTCCTTCATGAAGTTTAAATAAGTAAGCCATTCCACGAACACCGCCAAAACGAACACGAAAATCACCGCCAATGCGTACATAGCGGAGTTGGTACTGGGCCAGCCGGTGAACAGGACTTGGGCATCATGGCCCCAGTATAATGTCTTATGCACCACCGTCTTCCCGGCATTGTTTGTCGTGGCGGGATTCGTCTCCACCGCCGGTGGCGGCACGGCGCCGAGGTTGTGGTGAGACGTCGTTTTCAGAGCCATCATTACCCCTTTACTACGGGACTTTTTTGAACGAGGACTGTTTTCGGCGAAACCATGGGGGGGGGGTTTTAAAATCTGGAAAAGCGCGTGTGGTTCACTGCGGTTGTTTGGACAAGGCCTATTGAAAAGTAATGCGTGTGAAATGCACGTGCGCGTGTAAATGGAGTTGAGGCCTACGTCATTCAGATTCCATGACTCGCCTTGAAGCGATCCTCCTGCGCAAAGTTAAGACCGAAATAACATCTTCTTCACTGCTGGAACGAAGGGTTTCGAATATATATATATTAGCGAAAATTAAATTCTACCTTCTGACAAGTTTTATATTTTGTGTAATTTTTTTATATAATATTTTTGGTAAAATCTGTGATTTACTTAAATTTACTATTTAAATATAGGAGCCGTTACAAATACATGATTAAATTGTATGGATTTTTTTTTTTTTTTTTTTTTTTTTTTTTTTTTTTTTTTTTTTTTTTTTTTTTTTT